TAGGTACTTATCGCGCGCTCGATCTAGTTTGTACTCCTTGAGCTATGCCATTCTTGTCCGTCGTGGCTATGAGCTCTCACTTTGACTTACCCGATTGAACCCTTCGACTAGAGAGAGTCGGTGGCGTAGTGTCCTCTGGACAGTCTCGCTCTTGCTCTGATGGCGGCTACAGCGGAAATCGCTTGGCGGCATAGGAGTTCCGCAAGATCTAGATGCGCTCTACACGTTTTGGAGAGTCGTCTAGCTTCGGCACAGCAATCTCGGTCCATTCTCGCATCGTGGATTGAGGGCGCGTGTGACAAGTTGACACGGTGCACGGTGTGCTTTTTTCTCTCGAAGCTAGCCATGAGGGCTCTCACATCAGTGATATATTCTTTCTGCAGGCTGCTTACATTTGACATGAATGTCTAGCCCTGGGTGCGGGTTCGAGTTATGACCTTGAATGGTCTGCAAGTTCCACATGTTGGTAAGTGCGGCCTTGATTTGGACGATGCTGCCATATGGGTTTCTGTTGCCTCTTTTGACATGCTGGGTATGTTCGTGCTGGAGAAAGGCAGCCATCTTGGCTGATTTATCAGCCTTAGAGTCATGGATATCGCAGTCCAGTACTGACCAGCATCCACTGTAACATCACCACCAAAACCGCTCTCTTCAGAACAAACCCAATCGATGAAATTCTTCTGGTATCGAGTGTACTCCTTTCGAGTGTTCTTTCCCATTGCACCTGCATTGAGCCTGGCAAGCTCTGTGCGATGTTTCTGCTGCTGTGCTGCCATCTGCACGATCTGCTCAGGAGTATAAACTGCAGGGGCTTGTGCACTTCGAACGCCACGGCTTGAGCCTGCCAGTCAGGTAAAGAGCTGCTCCGTCACTCACAATCAGGGTTGTAGCTGCCCCCCAAGCCACCATAGTTTGGAGTGTATGTGTGAGAGGGAGCCATGATGGAATGAGGTCGACGTAGTGAGGGTCAAGTCTCAGTGCAAGCAGTCAATAGCTCAACATTTGGGTGGCAACTACATAAGTTGTGCTCACGAGTTCCAAGTGTCAGAGGCGGGGGGGGGGGGGGCCACGTGAAAGGCTATGTATTAAGGCCTGCTAAGCATTACCAGTCAACCATAGAGACATGCATTAATGCCTTCGCATTACTGCTGTTATTTGGGGTGCAACGGGGCCCAGGGTAGGAAAAGCCCACTGTCCGAGGACCTGCAGGACCTGACACGGAAGCATCTGAAAAAGGTCCTCGGGCTAGATTAGTAGTCTTCAGCGTGATTCTTCAATCATGGCATCCGGGGTAAACCGCGATTGAAGTTTGCTGATAGTATAAACCTCCGAGTCAACTCTGCAATAGTCACAAGATGAACGCATTACGGTGCATCTTCGAAAGATGCCTACGCATGTGCGCGAGTGAACGCTCCAATTGAGGGGGAGGGCGATCTCGTGTCCCGCGATAGGCGGTACCCTCTGTTTGGTTCCGCACAGCCTGGTTGGACGGCGCTTTGATTCCGTCGCTCTCAGCCAACTGTGGTGACCGTCAGCTATTGTCCTCGGTCCTCTATACCTAAGATAGAACGCAACATCAACTCCTATGTCGACATCATCGACTCTGGCCTCCGGCCCGGAACCCATACAAGCGCAGCTCCTTCCATCTCGGCCTTCTGCTTCTATCGACCACCGATTCTATCCTCACATCATTGACAACATCTTCTCGTATCTGCCTTATCCAGGTCTGATCATTTGCACGCAAGTGTGCCGAGAATGGAGGGAGAAAGCGAAGCCTTTCTTTAAGCACATTGCGATCTTCGAGCATGGCGCTGGTGGCCACAATCGAACCGTGGTCAGAAGCCGCGACCTCAGCTTTCCCGGTATGTCTGCTGTCTTGCTGTATGACGCCTTCCCGGGTGCGGACGGTGTTTTCTCACCTGCTAGAGTCAAGAACTCAGGTGCATTGCGAGAACGCACCACAATCGATGGCTACTTCAGCATTTCGGAGCTTCCTCAAGCACGCGGTCCAAGATCTCAGTGGCCAACGGTGTTTTACCGGCTGCTCAATCCATCGATTCGCGACCGGGATTTTTCAGACTTTCTGAGCTGTTGCTTCGACGGGGACGACGTTGTTCGCTTCGCTGATTTCTCCCAAGGAAACTTCCTCTTGGCAGGCCAATGTCCAGAGGCGCCGACGACGCTAGCCCTCACTATCGACTGCTACACGAACCCGAGCATGCCCTGTGCGGATACATTTTCCGGACTGGATAGTCTGAGGGACGACTTCAGGTGCCTCGAAACCCTCACAGTCGTTCTCATGGACTGCCAGGATGTCGCCAATCCCGCTGCCACGATGATCGCTGCAACGGGACCGGCTGATAAAGCAACAGCACAGAGAATATCCGACGGCCAGAGCTTGGGAGCCACCAACCTCGGAGCCGCTTGCGAGCTTCTGTTCTACATCTCGGATACTGCCGCGGTCGACGAGCTTGCAGTTGTGGGGCTGGAAGGTTTTGTTCCACAGCCCGATTATCTGCCTTACCTCAACCAACTGTGCTCCGCTCTTGCGGACGAGTTTGGTCATGATTTCAGCTCTGTCACGGAAGACACTGTGCCGAGTCTAGGAAGGTTTCTCAAGTTCTACACCCACCAGCAATACCGGGAGATGGTTGGAAGGGAGCGCTATCGCCTCCTCACTGAGCGCTGAGCCCCGATGAGCCCGATATGTCGGTCAAGAGAACTGGGTGAGCAACCGTGGGAGAAGCGGAACCAAACATCCCATCAGGAGACTGGTCTCGTCGAGCTCCACATTGGACAGCGCGCAGCAGATGGGGAGGCGGAAGGCGGTATGTTTGAGTCGCCGCGCAATTTGCCTATGCACTAAAGCGGACGACAGGAAGGCAGGCCTCATCACCGCGCGATAAGGGCGGGGGGTTTCTCCTTTTTGATCTCCGTCGTTTTCCTCCCTCAAGCGATGACGCATGCCCAGATAAGATAACACCGTTTGTCGTCAGTCAACTGGCACCTCGGCGAATTGAGCCACACAATGCAATACTTTATTAAACTACAAGATTTCCTACAGGACCCGCGCCTACGCGGATGCTGCCACTAGCCCTTACTTTACTAGAATCGAAGAGAGAGGAGGAGAGAGACATATGGATGTTGGGGGATGATGTCATGGGACTATTAAACTTAGACGATGGCCTCCCAGATGCGAGCGAAGATGTTGCCCTTCGGCTTGACCTCCTCACCCTCGTCAGGCTCGGAGTCAGAGACGAGGTCAACCTCCATAACGGGGACCATGTGGCTCTTGGTCCAGAACTTGTGGCCAAAGTACGCGATGAAGAAGAGGGGAACGGGGAGGTAGCCGCAGATGAAGTCGGCAGTGTCCCAGTGACCCTTGAGGAAGACGGTCCAGGCGTTGAAGAGCGTGACGATGCAGGTGAAGATGAGCGTGTACCAACCGACGAAGGGCTGGAACCAGCCACGGTAGCCGAGCTCCTTGCGGTTGAAGCCCTGCTTCTTGGTAGCCTGGTAGAAGCGGAGGTACGTCGCGGCGATACCGGCCCACGAGATGAGACCGACCTGCGAGGTCATGTTCGCAAAGTAGTCGAAGACCTGGGCAGACGAAGTGGCACCAGCAGAGGTGAAAGCGAGGAGACCAAAGGCGAAAGCAACGGCAACGCAGAGGTAAGGAGTGCCGTAGCGGTTGGTGCGCTGGAAGATCTTGGGAGCGCGACCGTTGAACGAGAGAGCCCACAGGGCACGGGAGCCGAGGTACATGTGGGCGGAACCGGCGGAGAAGGCGGAGGTGAGGACACCGGCGTTGATGACGTGGGGAAGGCCGCGGATGCCGACACGGGTGAAGGCGAGCACGAAGGGCGACGAGGCGGCGGTACCGGTCTTGATCTTGAGACGGGGGTCGGACGAGGGCATGATGAGGGTGAGGACGAAGACGGTGACACAGAAGAAGAAGACGATACGAATCCACACACGGCGGATAGCCTTGGCCATCGTGCTCTTGGGGTTCTTCGTCTCACCGGTCGTCAGACCAATGTTCTCAACACCGACCATGCCGAAGGCGGCGCGGGTGAGGGTGGCCCAGTAACCGAGGAAGCGGCCGAGGGCACCGGGGATGCCGAGGTACTGCTGGAAGGGGCCATTGACTCCGGTCCAGAACTTGAAGCCGATCACCTCATGCTTGGGGTTACCGCCAGAGGTAACGACGATCGAGGTGATGATAAGGCCGACGATAAGCAGAATCTTGATGCTCGCCTACTCGTTAGCGTGTTTCAAATCGCACTAATGTTGTCACACCCGGCGACTGCGCATCTGCCACTCTACCACTCCATCGGTGGCACTTTGCCCCTCCACTCCTCTACTTGCCTCCCCTCACTCTCTTGCGCATTCGGGGGTAACAGAAAACACTTACAAACCAGAACTCAGACTCTCCGTAAACCCTGACTGAGAATGAGTTGAGGATAGTGCAGACGACGAGCGAAAGAACGATCCAAGCGGCGGCGTTGACGTCCGGGAGCCAGTAGCCGAAGAGAATGGCGACTGCGGAGCACTCGGTGGGGAACAGGATGGTCCAGAGGTACCAGTAGAACCAGCCGAGGGCAAAGCTCATCGAATCAGAGAAGTAGCGACCGGCGAGGCTGGGGAATGTCAGCGCTTGATCCGAAGTATGATACGGGGTGGACGAATGAGAGTCCGCGACTCCGGGATCGGAGAACCGGTATCTCGGCCCAGGTGGGTTGTGGAGATCCGGAGACGTCCGAGGTGGGACCTCGGATCTGAAAATGCAGCAAGCCCCGCAAGCCACCGCCAAAATAAACGACACTTACGCGATGTGTCCTCCAGGAATCGGAGTGTGGACCAGCATCTCTCCAAGACAGGCCATGACGGCGTAACAGAGCGAGGCGATCGAGAGGAAACCAAGGAACATTCCGAGCGGGCCTCCGTCCGAGAGCGCGGACGCGGTACCGATGAAGAGCGCTGTGCCGATGACTCCACCAAGGGCAATCATTTGAACTGCTGTTAGACACTGGGGACTTGGAGGTCACGCCTCCGACCGCGGGGCACATGTTCAACGCGCCCGAATCGGAAGCGGAACGGAGCTACTCACTGTGACGGTTCTTGAGACCACGCTGGAGACCGCCAGTGGCCGCCTCGGGGTCCCACATCCGCGCGGGGTCGACAGCCTCGACGGCATAGTCGTGGTCCTTCTTGTCGTCAAAGCTCTGACGACTGTTGACCGACATATTGATTGAAATGAAAGTGGATAAACAGATAGAGAGTGGAAGTTTGCTGTTATTTAGGTTTCGGGTGTTGAGGTCAGGTGATGAAGAGCTCGAGGTCGAAGTTGCCGAGCTCGCGATGAAATTGTCACTTGCGCTTGCTGTTCGAGATGGTCCTTGAGGGACTGGACGTTGAATTGGCGACCAAGGGGTGAAGGTTGGGTCGAGGTTGGGAAGAAGCCTTGTCGGTGCATCGCAACGGTCGTTATTAATGGTATCGGCAACGGCTCATGCATCGCTGCAACGCCCAACATTACCCCACGGGCCACCCCGGAGCTGAAGATGGTTAGCGATGTGGACATCGTTTGGCGAGATAGGCGGCGCCAGGCGGCAGGGTATCTTGCGGGGCTGTCCACATTCCTGCGCTGTTACGCGTTGTTACTGGGCGATCTCGCTGGCCTAAGCTCCGACCCCTGCGTCCCTGCCGGGCCTCCAAGTCTGCGACCTGGGTTGTCGCGCCGCGGTGCCGTGCATGCCGCTTCGCTGCCGTCGAGCAAAAGATAGACAGCCGAGGGCAAGGAACGTTATCGGCTGAAAGTGAACGCCGCCCAATCCAAACTGAAGGGGTGATCACTCAGTATCAGCATGTCTGGGAGTCAGGTGGCTAGGACGCCGACAGCGACCAAAGTGGGGGCGGGGCCGAGCACGGGCGGCTGGGCGGCGGGCCGCACCCAGCAGGGATTTCCAACCCGCACCACGCCTCAGATTGCGCCGAGCGCTCTGGCAGCGTTGAGCGAGCGCTCCATCAAGCTTCCCAGATATGGGTCACACTAGCTGTGCATGTTCCCATTGTCATGAACGCACGGTCCGGTCGCAGCCCGCCCCGCGCCACCACCTTAATTCTCCCAGCGTCACTCCTCAGCTGACAAGAGCAGGCGATGTCGGGTAACAGTGGCCGCTCATGAAAAATCGAAAGCGGGACCTCCGCTCGAGCGTTAGAGCCCGAGCACAGCACTACGGCCTCTGGCATCTACGGTCTTAGTCAGGCGCGCATCCGGAATCGCGACCGTCCAAAGTCCTTGGCTCAGTGTGCGATCCCACAATCCTCAACGCCCAGCGCCCGGCGCCACCGGACTGGGGTCCGTATCATTAATCAGGCCGCACCCACTACGGCGTTTTCAATGATACGCTTGACGGCCCTAAGCATGCTTGGGCCGAAGATACGCCTCGGCCTTGGTTTGGGGCAGCCCAAAAAAGCGGGCAGGCGACGCACCCGACCCGATCCCCGTGTGCCCGTGGACCCGTGAACAGAGCAGAGGGGGATCTTCTAGGCGCTGCTGGGCCGATTCAGAGGCGGCAGCCAGCCAGGCGGCCACCCGGATCTTCATCTTCTATCAGACAGACATCGCTACCCTCGCCAGCAGGGCTGGGCACGAGCCGAAGTGCTATCGGCCATGTTCATATGCGAAACCAGACTCGAAAAAAGTGAAACGCTCGCACGCCGCGGGCCGTGACCCTCGCTCCTCATCTCGTGACCTGGCCCAGGTGGAGATGCCGCGGTTCATCAGCAGCCGGCATCGATTTTCAGCACCTTGCACCTCGCATGCATCGTGCTCTCTCGGTTGAACCTTCTTTTCCTGCACTGGTACCTCTCTGGCGAGAGATGCGAGTAGAGCGAGGAGGCGCCCCCACATCTTCTCTTGCCCGCCCGCTATCGTGGAGCAACTTTAATCCCTCACTCATCCTATATTCGGACGGGGGCATCTCGCACTGTGCTCATGTCGCCCGACACCCGAACGCGCCTGCGTCGCTGCTTCGAACATACCCGTACGCGGGTGCGATTTCTTGCTTCTTATCTCGTAGCGAGTATCGAACGTCTCGCCCTCTTGACATTTTCGCACTTGCACTGGCCAGGTTGCTCCTGGATCATAGGCCGTCTTTAGCGCTCGCAAGCGAGATCATACCCGATTGAAAGCAAGGCACGCCCCAGCCGTCGCAGTGAGTGGTATAAATACACCAGCTGTCCCCACCCTGTGTCCCGTTCGTAATCTGAGATGATCGCCGCGAAAGCGGGGTCGCGTGCGCCAGGCAGATTGTTGGGATCTCGTCATCAGCTCAGAAGACCAGTCGCGTGAGCGACGTGTGGTGTTTTCAGGAGTTCAAGCGATTCGCCGCGCGTGTGTCTTTGCACTGTCAGCCAGGTTCCAGAGATGAGGACCGGGAAACACGGCCCCGTCGAGCGGAACGAGGAGTCATGTGTCCGCACTGTCCGCGTCGGGTATTCTCCGGGGACTGAGGGGTCTTTGCCCACCTTTTGCGTTTGCAGTCAATTGCCGGCGATAACCGTTCAAGTTGCCGTTCCTTGCGTCATGCCCCTCCCCGCCAATGCATCCATTCGCTGCATGTTCCGCGCTTTTGCCCAGCGTCTGCATAGGGTACTTCTTCTGCCCCACTTCCCCAAAATGGCCCCGCTCACCTCAGCTCCTGGCCGAGGGCGGCAGCGAACGGTATCCAACGGGAGTATTTCAGCGTCCATCACCTCTTGCACCTCAGCGCGTCCGCCAAGCGGACATGTGCTGGAGCAGCAGGAACACCATCACGTCGCATGTGACCAAGCCAAGGCTCTCCTGCTGCAGGTAAATAGCTCTGCACAAGTAAGTCAGCAGCACATTCAGCCCACGGCATTTGCCGGCAGGAACCCGACACAGTCCCCTCTGCTGACCAGCCTGACGCAACTCACGCACCTCACAGCCCACATCTTGCTAAGATACCCAGAATAGCTAGCCCGGCCCAGACATACTGCCCATCTGCACCTCCACCTGCCCTCCACCAGCCGCCACTGACGCTGCTGACGCGGATCTCACAATATGCCCACACCCCTGTGATTTGTGCTCACTTTGATCCCCTGCCTCGACCCGCCGCCAACCGAGAGATGCCGGCAGATCCAGAGGAACAACGATAGACCGTGGAACGTACCGAAGTCACCGAAGCGTACTAGCGCACCAGAGGTACGCTAACGAGCGGCAAAGAAGGGTTCCAACACTGACAAAGGAAGGCCCCAGGCCCCGTTTTCGCGGTCCTGCGGCTCTCTCCGCGTCGTTAAGCTACCACCGAGGAGGTGTTACCGCCGGATCGGCCTGGGTAATCACGGCACATGCAGGCAATGACCCCCCATTCCAGCGGCTGTTGATCTCCTGACAACAGCCGGCGGGGTGCTGGGGTCGTGATATAACTACCAAACCGCGGGGCAAGCGGAGCCCACCTTTCCCCACACTTGCGCCCTCGACACCAACCAACCGGCGCATCGCATCCATCGACCATCTCGACATGAGCGCACGAACATCAGACCCCGAGGCGGGCCTCCCGGCCTACGACGAGGACAAGAAGGGCGTTGAGGTCGGCCACCTCGAGGAGAGCGTCACTGTCAAGGGCGCGGACAAGATTGATCTCACGGGATACGTCTATGTCCCCGACACGCCGGAGGAGCGCGCGCTCGTGCGCAAGATTGACATCCACATCCTCCCCATGCTCTGGGTCATGTACATCATGAACTATGTGAGTTCTCCCGCGCGTGAGGCGCCAATAGGCGGTGGAACAGTGGCTCCACATCGTGCCTCGCCTCCACCCTCCTACAGCCACTGACGCCCAGCTCGACCGTACCAACATCGGAAACGCCAAGGTCGGCGGCATGCAGAAGGACCTCTCCCTCAGCTCGTCCGAGTACTCCCTCGTTCTCTCGATTTTCTTTATTGGGTACCTGCTTTGGGAAGTGCCTTCGAATATGATGCTGTCGCGGAGCACGCCGTCGCTCTTCTTGCCCGCCATCATGTTTGCGTGGGGCGCCATGTCCATTGGCGCCAAGGGCGTCAACTCGCTCGGAGGCATGGTCGCGTTCCGCTTCTTCCTTGGAATCGTCGAGGCCGGCTTCTTCCCCGGTGTCATGCTGCTGATGAGCTGCTGGTACAAGCCGAAGGAGCTGTCGAAGCGCATCGCGGCCTTCTACACTGCGTCCCTCATGGCTGGCGCTTTTGGCGGTCTGCTCGCCGGCGGCATCATCGAGGGTCTCGAGGGCAAGGGCGGCACGCGCGGGTGGAAGTGGCTGTTCATCATCGAGGGCCTGATCACTGTCGTGCTCTCGATCGTGGCCGTGTTCATCCTCCCCAACTACCCCGCGACGACGCGGTGGCTCACGCCCGAGCAGAAGAAGCTCGCGACTGCTCGTCTCATGTCGGTCGCGGCGGCCGAGGCCGGCGCCGAGCCCGAGCACCAGTCGCACTGGGACGCCTTCAAGCAGGCCATCAAGGACCCCAAGACCTACGTCTTCATGATCATCTACAACGTCCTCAACATGGTCGGCACGATTTCCTACTTCTTCCCGACCCTCATGGCGTCGCTCGGCTACCAGCACAGGATGCAGCAGTTCATGACGGTGCCGATCTACGCCGTCGCGCTCGTCATCTCCCTCACGGGCGGCTTCATCGCAGACCGCACGGGCCAGAAGGCGTACGTCGTCGCCGCGTCCTGTATCCTCGCCACGGTGTCCTTCGTCATCATCGCGGCCGTGCCGAACGACAAAGTGAAGTACGCCTTCCTCTGTTTCGGCGGCGGCGGGATCTGGACCGCCGTGCCCATCAGTCTCTCGTGGCTCGTGACCATGTTCGACGGGCGCGAGAAGCGAGCCGTGTCCATCGCGCTCATCAACGGTTTCGGCAACCTCGCGTCTGTTTATGGATCCTTCTTCTGGCCCGAGAAGACGGCGCCCAAGTACATCATGGGCTTCAGCCTGACGTGCGCGTTTGCGTTCTTCGCATTCTGCGTCGTGCTCTTCGCCAAGTGGAAGTTTGGCGACAAGGGCGTCACCAGGACGTCATAAGCCATCGCCGTGGAGCGCGGAACGTAGCGGTGATAACAACTTGAATCTCGTCCGCAGTCGGTGGAGCTGCGACGGAGGAACGGAGATCGGAAAGACCCAAGTACCAGACATTCCGGAGAGTAGAAAGTAACCAGCAGTTTAGTCCCACTTTTGTAACACGCTCTCTCGCTAGGGCGAAGGCATTATGAACCAGGTAATATGCAGGATGATATGTCCCACCTGCAAAGAGTCTCTCGCCTGCGCAGCTCCGATCACTCATCATTGCGCGGACATGTGTGCGGCGCAGTGGACTCAGTGAACCTAGCAAATCGGGCATGGGTCACACCGCGTCACAACAAGCTCTCATCGTGACCGTGCCAAGACCCGGATGATGGCGTCGAGTGCCTCCGATTAGACCATGACAAAGGCTTGGCCGACAGGATAAAGAGACTGCGGGATGCGGTGTCCTCCGGAGGTTGACTGCGCAGTTGTTACGTAAGAAGCGCTCGTGGGAGTGTGTGAGTGTTGGCACCGAGGACGAGGGGACTGAATTGGGAAGCACTACTTCTTGGCGGCAACTGGATTCCCACGGTGCACACCTGGACGCGAGCCCACTCTAGCTGGACGGGGGATTGTGCCTACCGATGGCAAGACTACGGCGCGATCGCGTCCTGCGCGTCCTGCGATGTCCTGCCGGGTGAGCCGGGTGAGTCGTTCGCTAACTGAAGCCGGGACTCGGTGGAAACCTTGAATGGGGTCGAAGGGGGATGAATGGATCGACGCCCCCCCCCCGGAGTGTCCAGTGTGCACATCCGACAGATCAGCCCGCCCCGATCGTGACATAGATCTGCATACAGGAGACAGCCCAAGAGTATGTCTGACTGCTATTAATAACGGGGCACAAGAGAAGCTTGGGTGCGCTTGGGTATGCGGATGGGATGCGAGAATGCGACGAGGAGCGAACCCAGCGAGGCCGGGGGTGTGCGGATGGATGGATTAAGACGGAGCGGCGAGGACCCGAATGTGTCTGGGCACCGTAGGGTCTAGCAGGGTACAACAGGGTCTACGGTGTGAGGTCCCGGAGTCGTGGCGAGGCGATGGACGAATGAGCGGTGCAAGAATCGAGCGACGGCTCAGGGACCGCACTCTGCCAAGACTTCGCCAAGAAACGACATACCGTCCAGGATCCTTACCTCAGCCATCCCCTCACTCACTGCACACACTGCACACACGCACACATCCACCTCAGTCAATCCCAGTCAAAGCCATGCATCGACGCCAGAGTCTCAGTAAGCCATGCACAAGCGTAGACGGTCTGCCCGCACCTGAACACCCGCACACCTACCCCCGCCCAATGCCCAGCCAGCACAGCAATCCAAGCACGGCCCCTCCAGCCCTCCACTGACCCCCCCTCCCCCTCCCTCCCTCCCTCGCCCGGTTC